TATGCCACAAGCCACCCCTGCACAATCGCATCTTCAGTTTTCCAAGACTTTCTCGAAACAGCTGATTCCTTGCTGTCCTCCCAGCTCATCGGCGACAGCAATGAGGCCCTGCCCAAGCTGGGTGTGGCCAGCCTGCGCTCTCCCCATGCCGGTGCAAGTCCTGCCCCTCCCGCCCAACCCCATCCACAGGCCGCCCACCATCCTGGCCTGAGCGTCAGCTCCGTGGACACCTGGCGCATCTGCGCCAACAGCCAGGAGCAGGATCAGTCTGTGGAGCAGCTGATGCCGAGCCTGAGCCGAAACCTCTACCAGGGGCCCAAGGAATCAGTCAGCGGCGCCATTAGTGCCCTCTCGTGGGGAATGGATGCTGCCGGTGATGACAGTGGCAAGCGTTGGATGGATGTCAAGTTGAAAGTCAGGCGGAAGCTACTGGGGCAAAGTCGTCGGGCATCAGACGTGGGGCGCCGGGGGGAAGGGCGGGAACCAGCAGGGAATGGCAGTGCCTGGAGGTCGAGGAGCTCAGAGCTTTCGCGGTCGAGCGTCACCATGCTGCTGAATGGCATTGAGCAGCAGAATGGTTGCAGGCGGGATGCGCTGTGCGCTGTGGCACTGACAGGTGGGTGGATGGGTGAGTGAGTCAACATCCTTGCGGGCAACGTGAAAATTCGACACTTTGGTCACATCACATGTCTACGCTGAACTCAAATAGTCAAATTGCGTCACCTTGCTAGCGGTCTACACTCCTCACAGCCTCATAATGATTGGCAACCCGCCACCACCACACCATTAAGGAACACACGTGTGCAGGTGGGTGGCATGGGGACCTGGCACGGGGGTTGAGGTGGGATTGAGGGGTGGTGGCTTATCCAATTTTGAATGCTTGCAACAAATCTGGAGCCACAGAGGCCCCAGGCGCCTTGGACCTTACTTTATCTTTGGATTGCAAAAGACTCAGCGAATGTGCTGTGCATTTCGGTGGAATCTGCAGCAGTCAGGTTGAGCATTTTGCCCCTTGGTAGTCATCACATCCTGCTGCTGCACTTTGTAAGAAATCTCAGGGCTGCTTCATGGACTGCACGGAATGCCTTTTCACATATGTATATTGAGTCGGTGAAGATGTGGGAATGACCGCGGCAGTGGACACCAGCCGCATTGTAGACATTTCAAGCAGTGCCTGCAAGACACAGGGATTGACAGGCGGCGAGAGACAAGCACAGGACACGTTCCTGCAGAGAAAAACAATGTGGAGTAGGCAGGACTGCAAGGGAAAATGTGGCTGGAAACATTGTCATTTTGTGCATACAAAAGTGGCAGAACCAGAGCCAATGTTGTCTGCAAAATAACAACCTGGATGCCCTATGACACGAGTTGCTCTGTCTGCAGGCCAGACGGGGTCCTTCATGTACATGGCCCCGGAGATCTTCCAGAGGAAGCCCTACTGTGAAACCGTGGACGCCTTCAGCTTCGGCACCATCCTCTATGAGGTGTTCTCTGGCTCCCTCCTTATGATCTCCCACACAGATGTGGGCTCCCCCAGGGCCACCGTCACCTATGCCCACCGCGTGGCCTTAGGTTACCGGCCGGCCCTGCCCAAGCAGTTCCCAAACGAGGTGTCAAGGATCATAATGGCATGCTGGATGGCTGACGGACTGGACAGGCCCATGTTTCCAGAGATCGTCGGTGCATTGAAAGAAATTCGGAGCAAGGGGGCGATCAAGGGACTAGCACGGAAGCGGCTGAATTTCTTGCAGAGGCTCTGCGGCGCCGGCGGCAGGGCTCTTGACCATGAATGCCAAGTGGGTGGCCATAGCTTCTAGTCTCTAGTGCCCTTGCTGAGGGTCCTGAGAGGCCCAAATTTGGGCCTCTGTGTTTTGGCAGGCAATGGAAGGGCGTGACTGATGCCCAGTGCTTAGTCTCTAGTGCCCTTGTTGAGGTTCCTGAGAGGCCCAAATTTGAGCCTCTGTGTTTTGGCTGGCAATGGAAGGGCGTGACTGACGCCCAGTGCTTGAAGGATTCCCGCAACCTACCCCCCTGGTGGAAATGACTCTGAGGAAAGGGCTGGACTCATTTTCTAAAGTTGGGGCACTCTGATTGTGGGTGCTTCACTCGTGGCTATTGCCGTTGACATGTGACTTTGATTCAAGCACATCGGATGGTTGAATTGTGGATGCCTGATTGCGGGCTGACTGTGGAGCACATTGTGTAGTGTTAGCACCATGTTTGTTGATGTAGAAAAGGATGCAGTGTACTTGGGTTTGTGCTATATGGGAACATGCTGCATGATGGACTGCAAGAAAGGATGCATTTGAGGGATTGGAAGATTAGACGTGTCAATGGTTGAAGGACATGTGTGCTGCCTGATGTTCCCCAAGGGTGGACGGTATTTGATTAGAGCATTTCATTCGTGGCTGGGATGGGCCTATTGCTGTGGCAGAATGCAGGACCAATTGGACAGATACAGTATAAGCGAGCCCTTGGCATTCACTACTCGCAGCATGTTCTGACCCGCGTCCTAGATGGCATGGGAGTTTTGGAATTGGCAGTTTTGGAGGCGGTAGTTTTGGAGCCAACGTTTTTGAGGAATGATTTGTGGCTGTGAGGCAAATTTTAGCTGTCTTCGCAATGCACTGCGCAGGCTTCACAGCACTTGCACCTGCTGGTTTGGCATGTTTCAGATAGCTTCACTTTGGGCGCTGCATGGTGATGTATGGGGCCCAAAACACCAGTCACATACACACTCTTCATCTTTGTGACGGCAGTTGCCGTGCAACTGGTTTTGAGATTCGTGTTTCTCAATCCTCAAAACACAGCAGAGTTTCTGAACGACCGAGGGCTGAGCCGCAGCTCCAGTTGCATTTTGGAGTTTCCTTGAGTTGGCATTGGCCTTTCCTTCGTTTCAAAACGGGAGGAGGGTGCCATCGGGCTCAAAGTTGCGCAGATGTCACTCAGCCGCAGGTGCCTTTGCAACGGGCGTCCGTTCCTGTGGAGGCTGAATGCACATTGACTACAACTGCTGTAGTCAATCATCATGATTCACTCTGTTTTGGGGAAAAGTGGTACAAAGTTCAGTACTTTACAGTACTTGCTTGTACTCTCCACGAGCACTTCTAAAAGGCCCCCAATTCCCACGCCTTCCGACATCTGCATGCCACCGAAAATGTTCGCCAGCGACAGGGTAAGCAAGTTTTGTTAGGATCGCTACCAAGGTTGTAGTAAGTCTGAGGGGCAGCACTCCTTCGGAAAAAGGAGGTACAAGGCCAAGTACTGCACAGTACTTTGTTGTGCCGCTTTTCTAAAAGATGTTTGGGGAGTGTCTAACATGCCTATAGCCCCCATTCTCGGACGAACAAGTGCTCAAATGGCCCACGCGAAGCTACAGCACCGCCCCCCGCAGCCACTGGCCCTCCCACAGCCCTGGCACAGAAAGCCGCCACCTCACTCCGCCCGCCGCCCAGGAACCCTTTCTGGCCCCTTCCACGCACGGCTGCTCCGCCCCACCTTGAGTCACTGCATCCGCGCCCCCTCTCTTCCCCATCAGCACGGCGCTGCCCTGAAGCGGAGCTGAAATAAGTGAATAGGAAGTACGGATGGGTGGTATAAGTCATGCTGAGTAAATGTTGGTCACTGGCAGTGTAACGGCATTGGAAAATTGGAAGGGCATACATACTTCCTCCACCTGGAACTGATTGTCCTCACTTGAGAGGCGAATTATAGTTTTATTACAAGAACAGCCTCAGAATCACAAAAGGAGTGCAAATTCGGCAATGTTGGATCCCAGAGCCCTTAACTACGGATTTTGAGAAGAAAAAGTGAGACACCACCCTTTTGAGCGCTGGGCGAATGATAAGTTTTCGGTCATTTTGGAACCGAAAATTCGAGATTTACCAGCTAAAAGACCCTCGCGACAAAAATACGGCCAAATCCTCATTACTTAACGGATTGGCTTGATTTTTCGACTGCATACTCCCAACTCATAACACAGCTTTGGAAGACGTATCATTGAAAATCAAAGCTTCCACGATGGAGAAGTGGGGCGCCGAGGTCACAGAGGACAATTGATTCCGGACAGGCGAGATAGACAATGAACGAAAGAAGCATGGTAAAGCTAACGAATGAGAAGGGGGGATTTTTGGGAGCATCGATATCGGTGCTCACAACGGCGCCCACCAAATCAATCTGTGCCCCAGCCCCGGACAGCAACTCCAACACAGCAGGGGATCGCGTGCCGGTGCTCGCGGCCTGTAGTTCGGTCTGGTCGGCGGCGCTCAGGTCGGTGACGTCAGCGGCCCCGGCCAGCAGGGCGCGGATGACGTCATCTCTGGCAAGCCTGGTCGCTAGGATCAGCGCCGTGGAGCCGTCGTCGGGCATGCGGGCCTCCGGGTCCGCCCCTCCTGAATGGAAGCGAACAGATGCGACCTCCTCACCTTGGTGGTTTTGGAGCAGTGCAAGTGTCGCGATCTAATTCGAGCAGGGATACGGCGCCCTTTAATGCACAGTGCGTGATAAGTTGGTGCATTCTGCATTCTGTTTGTGGTGTACATTAGATTCAATGAGCAAATCATGGACACGTCTTCTATCAGGCAAGATACGAGACTGACGGCCCCCTCCTTGCCTTGAAATGTAACACTGTATTTAAATGATCATTTAATCATAACGTTTTACATGTCAAGGCAAGGAGTCATTTCATGACATGCATGGTGAATGCAAAGTGGCATGTGATGGTGACAGAATCGACGATGACGTAATCGACGATGACGCAATCGACGATGACATGTGATATAGCTACATCACGGCATCCATATTCCCCAAAAGGCGCTGTGATTGAAAACATGTCCGCCATCACCTTGTGAAGCAGCGACGTGATCTGCTTTTGTTGGAAATATGTATTTGAAATATAATTCAGAAATTTTCGAATTGTTGAAATGGCAGGAAAGCCTAAAGTCGGTGAAACTGAAATCAGATCTTAAGAATTTCGCTCGTGGACTTTTTTCCTAAAGTCTGACACCAACATTACGCTTTAAAAGAGTTGGGAACTGCTTACAAACCATTTTGTGCATTCTGCGCTTCACCGTTGACAAATCAGTGTAATCTAATGAAACAAATCATTGACATGCTTCCACTGTTTGAAGAGTCTAACTGACAGCCACCTGCCTTTATGTCGAATTGCCATACCGGAAGCTGTTGAGCACCGAATCGCGAGAAATGCGTGTATCATTTATTGACAGCAAGGAAAGGGCAGTGTCTTGCAACTTTCCTAGAGACAAGACCAAACCATTCCCAATCAACACGCCGCATCTCTCCGAGCAGAATCCCTGAAAAACACATCCCTTATCCAATAACTCAACAACGCAATAGCAATAGCCAAGGTTCCTGTTGCTTTGCATGACTCCTCCGCACCTTGGAACAGCGCCGCCGATCCACAACGTTGACAACACACGAACGGCAGACAAGTATATCAGCACGCAAATCTTCGACACCCTTCATTTCTGGAGGCGAAGTCACCAAAATCATGGAGTTTTTTAGTTGATGGGGGCATGTTCAAGTTCATTTCGAGTTCAGGAGATTTAGGTTGGGTTATGGTACCCTAAGAACCCTGTGCTTTTAGGGTTTCAGGGCCCCAGCACCTTTCATGACCTTCACGTCATATGTTCATGTGTTCATGTCATGTTCGTGTGTTCACAGAAATGATGGGCATCACAAAACCGTCTGCCTTGCTTGCCTCCTCCCCACCTTGCAGCAGCACCGCCACGGCGCCCGCGTGGCCTCCTCCCACCGCCAGGCCCAGCGGCGTCTCCCCCGCCCCGCTCCGCGCGTCCGCCTGGGCCCCCTGGCCCAGCAGCGCCCGGATGGCCTCCCCGTGGCCGTTTCTTGAGGCCTCGTGCAGGGCCGCGAGCCCGGCGTTGTTCTGGGCGTTGGTGTCTGCCCCGCGGCCGCACAAAAGGCCGACGGCAGAATGGAGGCCGGCGCGGGCGGCCTTGATTAGGGGGGTGTTGCCGTGGGGATCTCGGGCGTCCGGGTCTGCGCCGTTGTTCAGGAGGCCCGCGAGAGCGGGCAGGTCCCCCTGATGGATCGCCCAGAAAATCGCCTGCCAAGCCGGCAGCGGGTCCATTTTGAATTCGGACCTTTTTCAGCCCCTTTTTTGAGTCGTCGGCGAACAAAAAATTCAAGAGAGCAAGTCGATGTGCTACGCTGCGAGCGCGCGGACAGCGTGTCCGCACTGCATCAACGCTGGCATCCGCTAAGTCAGTAATGCATATATTGTAAAAATAAATAGTAATAACGACTAATTATTAATAATAGCGACTAATTAGTCCCTGTCACCAAGAACAGAACCTCCACTGTGACAGTGGAGTCTATTTCCTGCGACAGTCGCAGGGAATAGAAAACCAGTAATGTTCTTGATTGATCGATTGACGGGCTTCCCCGCCCCAACGTCCCAGAATGGGAAGGGTGGGGTTGGACGGGGTGAGTTGGAACCAGAGGTAGAAAACGTTGTGTTTGCGATGCCAGCTGCGATGCCCATTTTGACACAAAGTGGTGCCTTCACAGTGATTACGATGGCATAAAAACTGCTGTGATGGCATCAATTTGTGTCAAATGGCACCGCAATTCGCATCGCAAACAAGCTGTTGTCTACTGGTGAACACGGCAACAAATGTGCACAAGGGAACTCTTTGCGCCATGCCGGTGTGGGGACCTGCTCGCAGGTGGCAATATTCGGCAACCCAGCTTCAATGCCGGGCGACACCCCGCCAGGACATATTCCGGCACAACCAAGCACTGTAAAGTACTGAGCCTTCAGCCAGTTTCCTGCTAAGAGGTCCACAACATTACAGCAATATATAACAGTACATATGTCAGTACATCATCGCCTACCAGGTGCACGGGCTGTGTTTTGTCATTTTGTGACAAATTTAATACATGGATTTTGATGATGATAACAGTACATGAGTATGAGTCTCGTAAATGACAGGGGGTGCTGTGTGGCGAAAGGTCCAATCGCGAGCAACTCGGATGCCGCAGGCCAACGGGGAGGAGCCGACGACACCGCGGTGTGGGCCGGAGTGGACAAGCGAACGAGGCCACGCCGGGAGCCGACCCACCTTCCTCTGAACCACGGCGATCAGGCGCCTCACGGCAGCTCTGGCCAGCCCTATGCCGCCCTTCAACCCTGGGCAGCAATCATGACGGATCATCCCTGGGCACGGGGCGCCTCGCTTTCAAATCTGTTGAGGACCGGCGGGCGATCCCCGAGCGTTCGAGATCTTTCCACTTCAGTCGACAGCACCGCGGCTAGCCCCTTCGCAACGCGCACGCACTCCGACAACGAGAGCCGCCCGATTAATGACGCATCCTCGTCGCGAGGCGCGCCGTCCCAACGCTTCGCCTTTCGAAGGCGAACTCCAACAGAGCAACAAAAGGACAAGGGAGGAAAGCACCTCAGGCCAACGAAGTTCGACCGAGTAACTCGAACAAAGGGACCCAGCTTCGTCGAACGGCCGCGCGGGCCGCAGGCCAATTCCGTGCGCCAATTCCGCGCCCTCCCGACCCGCCAGGGGCGCGATTCCCGGAGCACATTTCGCCAATCGCTCGGACAACCCGTGTGTCCGATCGCCTCACCGGCGACTGCAAGGTTCAGGGCGGGGAGGGCGCAGGCCATCGTCGCGGCGACGCAGCCCAGCCAGAAGGCGCCCCAGGCGCAGGCGGCGGCCACGCAGACGTCGGCGATGTGCCGCATGGCATGATCCACCAGTTATTTGCTTCGATGGACACCCGGGGGGGGTGGGGGGTGGGGGAAGGCGGGGCCCGGGTGCCCGAGCGTGGGGTATGGGTGGGCGGGGCGGAGGGAAGGGCGTTGGGGCTTTGGGGCCGGCGGTTGCACGGCGGGACGTCGGTCTGTGCAATGGACGGTTTTCCCCGGGTGGTGGGGGGCGGTGGTGGGGGGAAATTGAAGAAACTGAAAAGAAAAAGCTGAAAAAAGGACAAAGAACTGAATGAAAAAACTGAGTAAAAGAGGCTCCGGGGAGTGGGGCCTGGGCTGGCGGGGTGGAGGGAAGGGCGTTGGGGCTTTGGGGGCCAGTTGCACAGCAGTACGTTGGTCTGTGCAAGGGACGGTTTTCACCCGGTCTGGAAAAATTTGGAGAAGCCGAACAAAGGACTGCCGTAGTCATTCTTTAATTCATTCTTTGATTATTTCTTTTTCAATTTTTGAGAACAATGGAAAGAAAATGAAGGAATGAACGTCCTAACGGGCAACTTGAAGACACGATGGTCATGTCATGTGAACTCGTGTACTCAACGCATCCCTTTGCTGGCTTTTCAAAAAAAAGAAAACGCTGGACAGGAGAGGCTGAAGAGAGCAGGCCTGGGCTGGCGGGGTGGAGGGGAGGACGTTGGGGCTTGGGGGGCGGCGGTCGAGGGGCGGGACGTCGGTTTGTGCGAGGGACGAATTCGTGGCGCTTGAGGAAAACATTGATAGAGAAACGAAGACAAAATCTGAAGGAAAGAGGCTGAAAAGGAATGACAGTGTTGCCACTTTTTGGTTGTTGCCGTCCGGCTGACCTCTGACGTTCGGCCGTTGAAAATTGCCGCGCATCGGGGCGCTGTGCCCGTCGCATAGAGGCGAAATTGTTGGCCGGTTCCTGTGCCAAACGCCGGCCAACGGCCGAAATGCAGGCACCAAAACAAGTGGGAGGAGGCAAGTCGATAGAACAGAGCTTAAAACAGAGCAAGGAATGATGAACCGTTTTGTCAAGGTTCGACGCAGCACCGCTCAAGCATAATCAACTGATGAAGTTTGGGAGGCGCATTAAAAGAAACAAATGTGTTGAATATCTATTGAACATTGACAAGGGGAACATGTCGCCTTGCAAGATGACGGGGTGAATGTCGTCCACATCAATCTGTGATGTCCAGGCGCCCACGCGACCCTTTTGCAGCCAAGATGCCCCAAACCAGCCGACTGAAGGGCAATATGAGGCCGCAGTGCTGCGCGGCAAGCTATTGAATGTCACAGCAACTCATTTGTGGGCGATTACGACATTGCGAATACTGTTGGTTCGTTGGACTGTGCCTCGCCATGTCACTAACATGGTTTACTACTAATAATCCAAAGTCTGAGCCCTCGGCATTTAATTCCTGTATGACACGTTTTCAGCGTTCATCACTCCGAATTTCGCTAAGTTGATAGCATGCACGTTTTCTCAGCCTCAAAACCGAAAAAGCGGTGCACATGCACATGTGTTATTGCATCAACTTGTGCTTCTGCGCATTTGGCAATGAGCCCCATTTCCGAAATGCAAACACGCAATGACGATCAATGCTTATTGGTTGTCTATGGCGCGGCACATTGCGTTCCTACTAAATTTTTGATATATATTATATCATAAGAATCATGAGAGCATCTGCAGTGGTGTCCGAGTGGTTAAGGAGATGGACTAGAAATCCATTGGGCTTTGCCCGCGCAGGTTCGAATCCTGCCCACTGCGGATTTCTGCCTTCGCTGTTTATTCATCAATTACCAGTTTAACGCTTCCTTGGCTGGAGACATGTGTTCATCAGAGCGTAACCGTCCCTTAAAGTGCTTCACTGTTCAGCCACTTTGCACTGAAAGGCAAACTGCTCTACCAAAAACAAGCCAACTATCATGTACTGATAAATGTGAACCATCGCCGCAGAATCAAACGATGCATATGCAGGAGGGACGCCGGGCCCATCCGTCGCCAGCACCAAACACCCCCCAACTTCATCCATTTCTGCCAAGAATAGCGTTAAGTCCCCCGCGGCGAACGGCACGTTGGCAACCTGGGGCCTATTTGTCCCACCCAAAAAGCAAGAATCCGCCTGCATCCAACTCACGTGTGCGATTGCACATCCCTGACAAAAAGCGAGAATGCACAATCCAACACCTTTCCATGTACATTTTTGCCGCATCAAATGCGCTTTGCCCAAATGAACCGCTTAAACCACACGCAGCTCTTACACATGATCACCAACAAACACTGCTCAAAATTAGGATTGATGGATTCTGGACCTTGTCTGGGTCACGCCTTAGCTTCCAACACAACAACCACGGACGCCGCCCTGCCCGGGCAAACCAACAAGCCGACGGCCTCCTGCTCGGCTCGCCACCAAAATTCCACGATGACGCGAACAATTCCGAGATGATGCAAAATTTCGTGATGGCACGTTCTCACGTCTTTCCTGCCGATTTCCCCAAAACCGCCCCGCCCAGCCCCAGCACGGCTTCCCGCCCTCCCCTCCCAGCGCCAAGCCGGCCGGGCCGCTCCACGGGGGGCGGGGAGGCGCAGCCCCCTCCCATCCACAGCCAACCCTCCCCGCCCGGCAGCCATGGCCGGGGGCCCGCAGGCGACGAAGGTCTCCGATCCTCCCTGGAAGGGCCTCACCGGCGACCGTCGCATCCAGCGGGAGTTCAGATCCCTGCGCAAGCTCGTCGATGCGGGCGGCGCGCCCCAGGTGGCTGGCGTGGATTTCGTCGATGACTCGATTCGAAGGTGTGGGGGGGGCCGGCTTGGGGATCGGAAGGGGGGGGGCAGATCGTGGCGTTGGCGCGAGCGAGGTGGACCATCGCGTCTCCGTCTTGCTCGCGGCTCCTTCCCGCGCCTTTTGTAATTCGGCAATGTCAGCGCGACAATTCATAAGTTCTCGGCGCAATGTGCCATTTTGTGGACTCGCTCGCGGTGGCAAGGATCGACGCTGTCCGGGCGTCCGAGCGCTGGTATGTGTATTGCCGGGGGTTGACGGTGGGTGTGGCCTGGCCGTGGCGCCGGAGGCCGGTTTGGACGCTTTGCCGGGCAGCGATGTTCGCGGTGGGTTACGGGGCAGTGATCTTTGAGTGGGTTTACTTTGGCGTGTCCTGGCAGTCGCGAGTTGTTTTTCAGGACGAGAGGGACGGCATGCGACTGTGGCAGGGGGGCTTTTGGCAGGCACACTCCATGGCGGTGCGAGCGTCTGGATGCTCTTGAGCTGTTCTCTTCTCCTGTGGCAGGAAGCTGCCGCGGCTTTCCCACTCAACCCTCCGCCTTTAGATTCGGTGGCAAGGAAGACCTTGTTTTTGAGCCCCGCACCGCTCTGGACTTAGCTTTTGGCTTTCCCCGACAAGGAGCTGGGCAGTGTCTGTTGGCTCGCCGGGCGCTTTGGCCATCTCCAGGGCGAGAATTTGCGCGGCGGAGGGCACGCGATGCTTGTCGCGGGCGCGGGCGGGCCTGATGGGAACAGCTGGCGGATTCCCTGTTCTCGAAGTGGCGATGGGCGCGGCCGGCCGTGGGTTTGTGCGGGGGCTCTGTCGATCGCATCGGCGGATGGTTTTGCTGTTGGTAGGACGGCCGTGGGCGCGGCTGGCCGTCAGGGCCCGCTGAAAGCAGGCGAGGAATCCATCTTTCGATGTTTCGTATTTTCCTCTTCTTTGGTGCAACGACAGTGGATCGGACAAGGTGCCCAGGGAGCTGGACGTGGGCGGCGCGCTGTTTATCCCTTTTGCCTCTGCCTGTCTTCCAATTTGTGGATTGTCATGTGCTGCAAGATTGGCGCTGACAGGGCTGCCCACTGTGCATTGCGTTGGGACAGGTGGAGCCTGAAGCTGAAGAATTTTGACAATGACGTGCCGGGAGGCCGCCAGTTGAACCGGGACCTTGCGGAGCTCGCGAGGCGGCATGGCCAGGACCACTTGGCCTTGGACATCACCTTCCCGGAAGACTACCCACAACAGCCGTTCTTCGTCCGCGTGGTGACGCCACGCTGCCGGTGGTACACTGGGCACGTGAGTGGAGACCACTTTTTGAGAATGAGGAAACTTGTCAATCCAATGGTCACCTCCATCATGAGCAATGGGCTGTTGTGAGATTGTCTTAAATGGTGTGAATGGTGTGAGGGAGGGAGATTTCTTAATGGAGCATGAACAGCACAGAAAGCGGAGCATGTTTAGGAGTGGAGAATGCACTCAGAGTTTTACATGAGCAAAGAAGGTTAAGGAGAAGGAGTGGCTTAGGGCAGGGCTGGGGAGGAAGCTTTCCACACATGTGCGCACGTGGCCGATGGTGTCCAGTTCAGTCCTGAATTTCGCCAGTATTCCATTTGTCAGTGATATGACAAAACGCTCCAAACAACTGTTGGTCGATGTGGACAGCTGCTTTAGTTGCTCTTGGTGGGAGTTGCCGCCAATCTGCTTACTATGAAATGCCAACAGGATACGTTTGTAGTGCTGTGAGGCTACTGCGCAAGAAAATGCTCTGCTGTACACGCCCTGTCAGGGACTCTCAATCTCAGCTTTCTCGAATATCAACCACTCCATGGGTGCAGCACCATCATCCACTTGAGCTTATACAGCGAACTGGAAACAGAAAAAGGAAACCAAAGGGGTGGCGGGGAGTTGCACAGATTGTTATTGTTGAGTATCAAAGTATTGCTGTGGTCGTTTGCAAAATTGATTTTTTTTGGAAATGATAACCTGTTTAGTAAAGGCTGCACCCCAAACCCAAGGAACTAACAAAATGACAGCTCTGGCAGTGAGCTTGCACCGCCAATATGGAGCCGTTGTGATGACCGACAGTGACATCTTGTGGCTGGGGTTGGCTGCAGGTCACGGCAGGTGGGTCCATCTGCATAGAGGCCCTGACCCTCAGCGGCACACCAAACTCTTGGCAGCCGGACTACTGTGTGGAATCGATGCTCAACGTCATAATGCACAACATGGTTCACTGTGAGGAGGTGTACGTGCGGACCCCCACTGGGCCCGGGGGCCTCAGCGGGCCGCTGCGAATCGACCTGGAGCTGGAATACACAACGAGTGTCATGCAGCCCTACACCGAGCACGAGGCCCAATCGGCTTTCAGGAGGATGGAGGCCAACCACCAGAGGTTTGGGTGGGGCTCTGGGGGTGCCGCTGGCGCTGGCGGGCTGGGCCAGGTTGGCAACCCGTCAGCTGGATCGCCGAACAGTGCACCAGGTGTGAAAGGTGTTGTTATAGGAGGGGCTGGGGGGGCATCTGGGAGTGGTGCACGGGATGGCGGAATGGCGCTAGTGTGCGCTGCCCCAGTTGGCATCCTGAATGTTGCATCCTGGGCAGTTCCTCTTACTCCAGTGGGCACAGGAGCCTCAGGGGCCGTTGTGGCAGCTGGCATGCCCATGCAAGCAGCCATGCCCTTGTGTCACAAGAACAATTTTGTGTTCAGAGGTAGTGGTGGGCCTGCAAGTAGTAGAAGTGGTGGGATGCGGAGGCTTGGTGGAAGAATGGGTGCTCTCAAGAGCAGCTTGCCAAAGGATGCATCCCAGGCGAATGCTGTGATCACAGGAGGCTTGGAAGGCAGTTACGGGACAGCAAGGCAAGCAAGGAAGGCACACCAAAAGGTGGCTGGGGCAAAGACTGGAGCCCAGGGAGGCGTTGCGGGAGGCAGCCCCAGCAAAAGGTCAGCAGTGGGCAAAAATCTTCAGAACGGCCCTCAGAGTTTGGTAGGGGCGGCGACACACACCTGGACCCCAGCATCATCAAGCAAGGCCATGGTTGCAAGGATGGCACCCACAGACAGGGGCCAGGGGGCACTGTCGCCTCCCATCTCCTCACTCTTGCACACGCTTGCATGCTTGCCTCTACCACAGGTGAATTCCCAGGGGGCCGCCGGTGCTGGGTCGTCCACTTTGTCTGTGACTCCACCTCCTCTGGCGCTGAATTCGACCCAGCAGAGCCCCGAGCAGAGAGGCAGTGAGGGCCCATCTGCTTCGGTAGCTGGAACCCCACCTCGTGCGATTGTGGCATTTCCCACAAGGAAGCGGAGGAGGTCAGAGAGCAGTGACGAGGGGAAGGAAGGCCAGGGCCATGGCCATGAAGTCATTGACTTGACATTCCTGGAGGAGGGCGGCAATAAGGTGCAGGTCACTGCGTGCATGACAGTGACTGTTGCGCAATGACGTAGATTCCATGACTGCATTTGTCAGAATGGCCACGACGAAGCCTGACAGTAACTGTAGCGCATTGACTCAGATTCCATTACTTGCACTCTTCAGAGTGGCCACGGTGAACTAAGCCCTTGTGGCCTGTGGGCGATGATGGGCACAAGAAAACCCAAGGTCTGTGTTCTTGACGTCCTGCAGAGGTCATTCTCCATGCTTGCAGTGACTTTGTACATGGAAGCGGACTGCTTGTGCTTGAGTACAAGCACCTGATCTACTGGGACGATAACCTGGCTTGGGTGTCCGGGCGTTGAAAGTGGATGCAATGATTGGGATGCTGGCTATCATACAATGGGTCAGGTGTTCAAAGACAGCTGAAAAGAATGCATGAAATATTTGGTTCTGGTCATGCTGCTTGCCTGTACCGTGGTCATATCATTGCATGGTGTCAGTTTTCTGGTGGCCCACAGGGACCTCAACTTGTTGGCAAACATTGCCCCAGCCATAGCAGCACGCAAAGTCCACAGGTTGCGTGCATCAAGTTGTCACACCCTGTGACTGCTCTCGTGGGGATGGTGGCGTGATCACAACACCCTAATATAGGTCGGAGCTAATGCAAACCAACTAGCAGAGAAGGCCCAAGACAATGCTGGAACTGACTGGCCATTTCTTTATGAGAGACTGTAATGCGGGGGCTGATTCAGAGAAGGGGAAAAGTGACCCTCAGAGAAGCTTGTTTCTGTTTGTGTTGCTTTGATCGAATAACACGCTGGCTCAGCACCGTGAGCACCTAGCGGTAAGGGCAGCAAAGGCATTGGGAGCACCGCGAGCATTGTGTCTCTGTCCACTCGAAAACTGAAAAGGGTTAGTGTGTGTGCGCAGCACAAGCAGTCTCCCGGCACTCGAAAGAAAGTTGAGTATGCGGCACTCGTGTCGAAGTGTGGCAGCCTGTCTCTCCAAGGCGACGATGTTGGGGGAGTCACGAGTCTGAGTGAGGACGATGATGACCCAATGGCACCCGACGAGCTGCTTCTCCTTGCCAAAGAACTGAACTCCATGCCAAAGGAAGCCCAGCAAGGTAACTAAGAGACTGCACACATGCTTCTGTTCATTGCGCTGGATGATTGTAGCCACAATATGTACCAATGCAGATAAGAATGCAAAGCAGGTGGAGCATCGAGGTCTCTAGGGGCAAACTGAGCTGGAGATGGGGAGCATGGCCACTTTGCATCTATCATGTGGACGAGTTTGTGCCCACACGATAGCTGGATGGTGGGTGAGAACTGCGTAATTGAACTTGTCCTGTGTATCTATCTGTCCGAGAGCGTGGAACCAAAGCCCAAGATTAGGTTTCAGGACTGGACAGACCAAGTGCCAAATGCAGCATGAATTTGGCCATATTTTGAACATATCAAGGACACTGGAGCAAAGTTGAAATATTGTGAATTGAGGCAGATTGGTCTCATACATGTGGACAGTGAACCATCCTTTGTATGTGGTTGTTTGTTCTGCCGCCACTGATAATCAGTTCACAGGGAGTTGCAACACCATGAAAGCTTCGGTGTCTCCTTCGTGCGCATGCATGCCAAACTGCAAATGTCCAGTATACCTGTCCCATCTGGGCCTGCTGTAGAACGGGGATGCGGTGGTCTTCAAGGCCCAGAAACTCTAGCCCCCCTGAGCGATGCACAGCTGTTGTTGTTGTTGTTTCATTACTGTCCTCATGAATCCAATATCATGCTGAAGAGATGACATCATACTTAAGAGTCCAGGTGCCACACCCGCCACCCCTGTCTGTGGTTGTTGCTGTTGCTCCAATGAGAGGGTATCAGCGATTGAATTGTCAAAGCCACGGGCTCATGCATAGGCAGCCGGAAACGTCCCTGCCTGAGTATCAATGCTCACCAGGGGCTAGCAATTCCCCAGATGTGTGACTGCAGAAAAGGAAACCCATAAAACTGTTCCTGTACAAAGTTATGTCCAAGCTGTTCCACAAAGGGCTGAGGACACAACCATTGCTGTTTGTCTGTGCCAAAGTTTTGTGCTGGCACCATGGCCAAGCTAATCTCCAATGTGTCCATCGCCAAAATAGCAAGGCTGTGCATGACCTGCTTATGAAAACGAACACCATTTGGGGTGAATTGGCCACAACGAAGTGTGGCCCAATATGGGCCATGTATTTCGTTTCAGCAAAAGTGTGGTGGTGTGGGATGTGCGAATCATGCTTGTCTCCTGAACAGGAGTTTGCCTTGTGGGATGGACTGATTCAAACACAAGGCAAACTGATGATGTCTGAACTGGTTGTCTCAGCAACATGCCCATTGGAGCAGGGCCGTTTTTCATGTTTTATGTTCATTTCCATGGATACATTCCGGCTGGAGCAGAACACTCCCAGAGTTGTTGCGAGTTTTACAAGCCTGCATCAGCGCACTGTCAACAAAGTTTGAGCAAAAGAGGCATCTGAGCCTTGGAGCGAGTAGTACGTCTGTCAATTCTGGCTTGCAGCCATTTTTCTCTTGGTTTTGTTGCAGAGTTCTGGGTGTTTTTGGAGGCAGCTGTGGCCACTGTTAGAGGCGCATGTTTGGAGGCATGGATGGGCCCAGACGTGCCCCTCACACACTTGATTTGTACGCTACATTGATCAATGCCATGACATCAAGTCCACGCATAAAAGTAAGGAACAAACAAACAAATGTCACCAGCGACAGCTATATCTGATGACGTTGATGTGGTGCACCCAGAGATCCGGAACATTTGTGAGGAGAGTGTCGTTGACCGCCAGGGCACATCTGGGGAGGATTACGACTTCGACCTGTCCAAACTGGACCGGAGCACTTTGAGGAGGCTTGCAACATACCTTGAAGAATGGCAGGTGTGGCTGTGCGAAACAGAGCATGGCACCAGGCATGACAGCAACTAACATATGGTGTGATTCAGATTGCAAAATGATGGCAAATGCATGCAAATGTAGAGTGTTTTGGTGCTGGGGATGACGAAAATGCCCTCTCCATGCACTGCGCAGCATGATTCTATCTCCAAAAGAAGCTGCAACAGATTGGAATGATCCTGCATTCTGCTGCCATCTCATTTTGAATAAATCTGCTGCGTTTCCATTGCTAAAGCTCTGCAGCACTGCAGAAGCTGCTGTGGCAGGACATCTTTCCAAAAGGATCGAAGCAGAGGCTGATCATCGCAGTGTGGTTCGCTCATGTTAGCTGGGAACACAATTTACACTGACATTCAGGGGAAATGGGTACAAGCCCTGGCGATGAGCACTTTACCTATGCAGCTGATTCTCAAATCTAAAATTCCACATTGAAAATTTCTGCCTTGCAAGCAAAATTTGGCACTCAGCATTGCATGTCGGGTTTCTGGCCTTGAGGGTTGACACCCTCTATACCCAAAACGCTTCTTGTTTCTTTGCACAAACATCGCTTAACAGAGCCTGACAAGCGAAAGACCTCCGCTTGACCTTGAGCTTGGCAAATCTGATTTTGCAACGGCAGATTGCCACCACCAACATCACACCCACGAAGGGCGCAGCAATGACAGCTGCATCCTGCTGCTCATGCAGTTTTCTTGCTGAAACCGTTATCTTGCACTCCGAGTCGTAAGCCAGTCAGCACACAGGCATCTGGGCAGTTGGCATACCTCAGTGGCAGAAAATACCACTTACTCGATCTCAGCTGCGATGCAATTCTGGTACTGTGTGGCCCCATACAGGTCGCTGTGATGGCATCAATTGGTGTCACATGGCATCGCAATTTGCATCGCAGAATGGCGTTTTCTGCTTGTGGCCTGAGGTCATTTCGAACACACACTAAAGAGTGGCTGTGTCGCTCTGCAGCTGGCCTCCCGCAGGGAGAAGACCAAGCTGCGGGCCGAGAACGACGACCTGAAGGGCCAGGTGGAGCGCCTGCAGAAGGAGCTCGATGAGGCCAAGGCCAAGCCCCACGCAGTGGACCCCCCGGCCCACTGGTCGAACGTCTCGCGCTCCAGGCAGATCCCCGTGCACTACGTCGACCTGTACAGGCAAGAGCGGGTATTTTTTGCTTCCAAGAATGTGATATACTATATTGGAAAAGGAAAATTGAAAGAGTGGATTTTGCCTTTGGCCACAAATGTCCGATACGCTGCATTTCCAGAGATGAAGTCATGAGGGCCACAGAGTCATGGAGTCATGAAGGTCGCATAGGTCATTTCGGATTCAAGGTGTTTACGTTCTAGGATTTTGGGTTCCCAGCACCTTCAACGACCTTCACGACGGCTTCATGACCAGCACATGCGTTCCAGCCGTAATCGCAGTCCAGGTTCCCCATTTTAAGCGGCGAGGATGCTGAATGGGCTATGCTCTGCTCGCACGGACATTCTCCGATAATGGAACACTATTGAACGCTGTCGCGTACTCAAGCGGAAATCTCCAGCATGTCCCAACAGGCACGGCGCGGGCATGGACGTCCACAAGATGGAAGTGGAGCTCGACGCCGAGGGCGTGTCCACCATGACGCAGTACGGCATCAGCCGCGAGGACGCCGTAGCGGCATTGGGGGAGACCGGCGGCGATGTCAACGCCGCCTTCGCCTTCCACATCGATTGCCTGGAGCAGGGCGGCGCTGCGGCCGCCGTGGACCTGAGGCACAAGACGACGCGGGGCAGGGAGGAGGAGGAGGAGCTGGTGGAGGTGTTGAAGAGGTGGGACGCCGGGCTGATCGTGCCTGGACGGAACATCCGTGTATCCCAACAATCCCTGCCATCCCAAATGTCCCAGACATCCGAAATGCTATCCAAACTGTCCAAAGTATCCAGGATATCAAGAATATCCAAAATATCCAAAATGTGGAACTTTACCCCCACAGATCTGTCCGGCGAAAGTTGCACATTCTGCATGTTTGAGATGTGGCCGTGCAGTGGGATGTGGTCGGCCATGTCTTGAATGCGGCCGCTGTAACCTAGACATGCGTAACCATGATGTAATCGTTTCCCAAGATGCGGTTGCCCGTATCCTGGTACATGACAATATCCTCGCCCACGTCCCCGTTGTATCCCTGGCCATACTTGGTCGCGTGATGCCTTCCCCCGTCATGCGGATACCCCTACAACCACCCAACCTACGGCGTCGCGCCCAGCGATATCCCCCACGTGGCGTCACGCGACCCCAGATACTTGTTGGCTACAGACAGCCATATGCAGGACACGACGATGTCACGCATGGGTATGTTCAGGATGTGGTGCCCATATCGTATTCGATCTGCTGGTTATGGGACTTTTTGCTGCCGACTCCTCTTCTTTTGCTGCTGCGTACTGTGTATATACGTCGATTTGATTTGATTTGGGTTGATGTGTTTTGATTGATTTGATTTGCCTTGATGTGGTTGATTGGATTTGGTGGATTCGATACGATTCGATTCGCTTTTGATTCTGGGGCTGAAATCCCTTGGGGATAGTCCTCTTCGGCAACATGCCAGAGTTGTGGTACTTTTGCAACACCAGCAGTGGCACATTTGACCCAGTTCGCACTGAGCAATGCCCAACAAATGTGTACATGGTTGCTCTGATCTTGTAGAAGCAATCTGCTGCAGGAACATGTGTGATGTCATTATCCCACTTGATCGAAATTGATCGCCAACCGCAGTGAAACGGCAGAAGTAGTGTGCAGTTCTAGACACATTGACCGCCGCGGGCCAGATGTTCCTGCCGGGTATTCCCCACACTACCCGTGGCACGCCACACCCAGCCTGCATTCAAATCACGGCGACATCCTTCCGGTGCACGTGCAGTGGCAGCGGTTGGGGACGCAGTCCATGCAGATGTGCTTGTTCTGTGAAGCAGGCAACGCCCAGCAAGGCCAAACGGACAAACACGGAATCGCAGACTGTTCAAGCATTCCTCAATACCTGTGAACCCCGCCTTGGTTACTTTTGGAAACCTTGCAGGCAGCCTCCGAGACCTCATCACACTCTGCGCGTGCCATCTTCGTTGTCTTGTAATTTTGCTTTGTGAAGAATGGCATATGCACCGTACTTGCCTGTACTTTGCAGTGCTTGCCTGTACCTGTTTCCTGAAAGGCAGTTTCCCAAGGCTGGAGCGCTTCCCTGCCTTGTCAAGGTTCGAGGAGGGCAACACGACCGCCCTGACGCGCTTGGACGTCGTGTGCGTGCAACGGGTGGAGAACCTGCGGCTGTGGGGCAAGTACCAGGCGCGTGTGGCGGACATCGTGGACACGGCGGGGGAGGACCACCTGAACGAGAAGAGCCTGTGGCATGGGGCGGACCTTGAGACACTCGAGACGATATCTAGGTGGGCGCAGCCGCCGTACTTACAATCGATCGCCGTATTTGTGGCCGTATTTACCGCAGCCACCTCCCCCAATGTCTTCAGTTCTGGTCACGAAGGTCATGACGGTCATGAACGCCATTTACGTGCTTTGCCCTTTCATGTTATGTTTGCGGTTTTAGGGTTTTAGAGCCCTGGTACCCTTCGTGTTTTTCACGACCCCTTCATGACCTCCGCATACGGGGATGGACAAGCCCCACTAGTCGGACATCGGACTTGCATTATTGGGACACGTCATTGTGCTTTCAGGAATTCAATCACATTTCGCAACGTCTTGTTTTCTTGCTTGCGCTCGTGTCTCTCCTTGGATATGTATTCGTACTTTTGTTTGCATCCGTTGCGTGATTGTGTATTTGCCGCTGACGACAAACAGTTTTTTCTCCCTCAGCGAGTTCTTTTCGACATTCTCAAATTGACGGAGCCTCTCACTGCCTGATTTGGCGTATTTGCCCAACGTGCTGGCGAAGACATTTCAAGCTGCCGTTTCACGCACAGGGCGCCGAAGAGCACTTCACGCGTCGCCAGATTCTGCCCCTCGACTGTGTGCGATTGGCTGACGTGGTTTTGTACCGGCTGGCTTGGCGTGTTTGCACAAAGCGCTGCCAAGCGGCGGAAGCTCGGGGCAGGAACTGGCTGTTCTTTACGCGCAAACGTGTTTCTGCTTGAGCATTGTCGTCTGCACACATGAGAATCCATCTTGGCGCAAGGTCGCGTGTCCACTTGTTGCCAGCGTTGGCAGCGACAGGCTTGGGCGCAATCCATCAAAAGATGCCGCTTGGCTCAGCACAGCGCTTTTCGACCATTGCTTCACTGAGAGTCTGTTAGATTAACAGGTAAATTAAAAAGAAGATTTACCCATTTTTACCCGTTGTACCCATTTGATGGGACTTTAGCATGGGTGAAGCCATACCTTGTGGTTGCCGGCCCTTGCAGGGAGGGCTTCGACCACCGAGTCAGCAACCTGAACGGCGCCCTCGGCGCGGGCGTCTACTTTTCTGAGACCACAGAGTATAGCCACAACTACTCCAAGAGGGCGCCGCACAGCGCAGATCCGCAAGCCGTGGGAAGCAGGTCAGAGCGGCCTCCACGCGTGGCGAGACGTGGACTTTTGTTGGGTTTTTTGTTTTCTTCTGTCCATTTTGTCTTCTTTTCGTCTTAGTGTAGTTTTCTTGCCTTTCTTGTCTTTTTACTCTTTTCTTTTTTCTTTCAGTCTTCTTCATTCTTTCTCTTTCTTTTTTGTCTTTTTTTTCTTTTTGGGTCATTTGTCGTCGCTTTTTGTCATCTTTCCTTTGTTTTGTTGCTTTCTGTTCTCAATGCATGCTGGCGATGTGCAGCTCACCGCCATGCGCTGTGGAAGACTGCAGTCTGCTGCGCCATCAAGCGGCACATTGCCTTGGGGACATCTTTCCGGATATCGCGTGATTTTCAACCACGATTTGGATCTTGCTGGAATTGCTGCAAATCGTGCGGCAGCAGCTCAAAGCTAGTTGAATGGGGCTTCGCTGTGTGACCTTCATCACGTTCCTGCCGCTGTCCGTTTTTCTTGGCGTTTGGGCAAATTGTGGTGCATATCTTCTGACCTGTCAACGGCTGGCGACGTGAATGCCATACCCATCATATGCTTCTGTACATTTGAGAAGTGTATTTCTAAACCATCTTCTGAAATATATTTCTGAAGTGTATATCTGGATTATCCTTCTGAAGTACAAGTAGTTTCTGTGACGCCTTTCACTTTGACAGTAAAGGGCGCCACAGAAGATACTTCAGATGGCAATTCAGATTCAACTATAAGTTAAAGCCGGCACAGGCAAGCACTTTTTACCGTACTTTACAACTACTGAGCCTCATGCTTCTTTTTATCAAAAGGAGTTTGAGCAATCCCAGACTGGGGCTCAATTCAGATTTCCTTCGCCCCGCAGCTCCAACTTCTCGGGACTTCCTGGCTACCCTCGGGGGCTGGCGCCCTGGCTGCCCTCGCCGCCTCCCACCTTTGCCTCCCCACTGGCGGGAGCATCCACCTCTCAATTCGCCCAGGCGCTCGGCGCCGCGCAAGGCTCGGCACCAGCGCAACTGCAGGTGGGCAGGCTGCATGCTGTGGACTGCAACATGCAATGTACTGGCGAGCTGCATGCGGCAGACAACAGCGATCAAAGTACTAGCGGACTGCGGACAGTAACATTCAACATACTTGCAGACTGCGTACTGTGTACGGCAACAACCAATGTGCTGCCAAGCGTCCCACCCTGCTCAGTCTTTTGGGCATCTCCCAGAGTGTGGCAGCTGAGAAGACCACACACTACGTCCGAAAGGAAAAAAACCATTTAATTCCAATGCATGTAATATAAATGCAGTGCATCCCCCCCACCCGCCCACCACGACCACCACCAACAAGACAAATAGAACAAGAGTTCTTTTTCTATTGTTGTTTCTGTTATTTCTATTCAATGTTTCGAAAGCAGAATAAAGCACAACGCAACACGAGAAACTGGCTACCCCGCTTTGGCACATACAGCCCATCTGCACCGACACCGGCAAGAATGAACATTGCGCACTGCTTTCTATTCGCATTTGGCACTTTGCAATTGATGTAAATTTGCGGAATGAGCGAAACACCAACGAGCCGTGTATGAATTGTCCGTGATTTGACGCCGAGTTCGACCGGCGCGGCACACGACAGGGCTGCCAACGCACCCCCAACCAGACGCAGCAGCACCTGTTTCAAATACGGAACGCTCCCGCAGTCGCATGGGAATACGTCAGTTCTGGTGGTCTGGTGGACTGTCAGATGTACCAATTATGCAATTTGAATAAGTGGTACGTTTGCCAGTCCAAGTCTTCATATTTGAAACGGTGCTATTGGTGGTTTGCATCGGTGGGTGGGTGGACTGCTCCTTGAGAGCGTTGAGAGTCAGAGTTTGCCCCGAAGTTTCCCCGTACATCGCCGCTGAACTCGCTTCGGAAAAGGTAGTTCAACGTATATTCAATATACATGCAATATATTCAATACATATTCGACATATGTTCATAATACCTTCGACATATATTCAATATGTATTCAACATAATATATTCAATCCATATCCCAAAAGAGAGTGTTTTTGGAAACCGGCAGAAAGCTCAGTACTTTGCAGGGGTAGCGTTCACGTGTTGTCCTGAAAGGGCGTTAAACGATGCCCCCCGACGTTCCTTTAGGTTCCCCCCACCAAGAAGTCCCTGGACGACCCCGTCTACGCCATGCTGCTGTGCCGGGTGGCCCTGGGCAGGACGGAGGAGGGCTACAGGGGCCTGCGGCGGCCGCCCAATGGCGCCGACTCCGTGTGCGGCAAGATCGCCATGAGGGGCTTTGAGCCGGTGCACGTCTACGCGATCTTCGACAACGGCCAGGCGTACCCCGAGTACCTCGTCTACTATCAGTGAATCCACTGACGGTAGTCAGCCTACTACTGATTGTGATAGCAGTCCGCCGACTACTGGGCGACCGGCACCGGCCGATATCGACTTGATTGTTGGCGAACGCTGCATTGGGCAAATGTCCATGCGGTTGCGTTCTTGAGTACTGGACTTGTCTGACTCTGCCGGGCATTGCCAGATACTCGCCTGCTGGCTGCCTGGTGCTTTGTCTGGCACGCGTGGTGCAGCAATGTCCTTGCGGTTGTGCGCTCTTGAGTGCTGCGCTTGCCCCCTTCTGCCAGATATTTTCCCGGTATGTGCCTGGCATTTGCCTGGCGTTTGTGTAGTGGGTTTGACGCGGCAGTTTGCAGATAATGTAGGCGTTCGGTGACGGTGGCCGGTCGATGTGATGGTGAACATTGGGAGGACTAATTGGTGGCTGCGTGGAAGCACCGATTGCGTCATGGACGAGGGTCAGGGCGCAGCTGAATGGAAACTTCCCGCTGTTTGCAGCGCCCTATACCCGAGTCGGAGTTGACTGAAGCTGTCAGTCAATACGAAAAGCGAACTGTGAAATGTGAGGTCTACAACTTGGGGCATTATCACTGGACGCCATCTCGATCGAAAGTGAACAGCTCTGTGACTGCTTGGCACAGGGCCGGCGGGTTAGGGCCTGGGAAGTGATCTCATAGATCTGCTGTTCGGGATGTTGGAATGGCGCCTCACGCCAGCCTGGGGCTCCGGACGGCAGCGTGTGCAATCAACAAAAATTTCGATTGCATGACGCTGGTGCAGCAAAACCCATGTGCGCCCGTTGTGGCATTCACGTGCGGCCAACACGAAGGGGGTGACGGGGAGGCACCTGGACGCTGAAATGTGCTGTAATATTTTGGAATCGAAAGAAAAGAAACAAGAAAAAAATGGGAGGTGGCTTTTTGTTTCTCGGCATAATCATTGTCCGAGGCGGTGTGCGAGGAACTCCGTTCTGAGCCGGTTGGGAGGGACAGCTAAACCGGAAAAAGGTCCAGAGTCCAGTTTTGCGGCGTTACGCATTTCAAGTGAGCGACGCCATGAGTAATGGCAAATGAGTCATTGCCGTCGGGCTCCGGCGTGCAGTTTGGATCGACGGCATGTTAGCCGAGGCTGGAACAGTGCTCCTCAGAAATAAGGAATGAACACTGATGGGCGGAGCGGACGGCACAGGGAAGGATCTGGGGGCCGCTTTTGGTTTCTGTGATGTGCGCAGGCAAGTGCGGCGCAAATGTCGTGGCCAAAACCGCTTTCCCAATTGAGCTGTGTGCGTGTGGGACATGATGCGGTGGCGGTCACCTTTTGGGCCGCTCCCCAGGAACACATATGTAATAGTGCTCGCCAGTGAGTGTGTCGCCCTGGCGTTTCGGAAATTGAGACGGCGTTTCTCAAACACCGATATTCTTTGCTGTGAATGGCTGCCACACAACTGAAGCCTGAAGCTGCTGAAGTTGAACTTGAGTTACTGCCCGAAGCATGAAATTGCTGAAGTACTGAAGTTGGAAAGAAAAATTGGTCGGAAGGAACTCCCTTGGCTGTTCAACAAAGGGCGCCGCCGGACAGCGCGCTTGCAGCCCAGCTGACGATCGCCACCGCGCCTCGCGTTGCTCGGATATGGCCAAGGCCCGGATACCGTGTTGCCTCGATGCCAGCGTCCTCGAGAGGACCTATTGAGACGACGCCCGCGACGACACCTGCCATTTGTAGTAGGTCGTTCTAGCAGGTCTGCTATCTCCATGGAGGTTGGTACAGAAAACAGCTGTCTCCTTTCCGACAAGCAGCGCGCGTATTGACAGGGAGCATGACGCAGGGATGGGATGAAGCACCTGAAAATTCGAATAGACCGTATTCCAGCCTCCACGTGAGGCTGGGTCCCCAAAAGCGCCCCTAGCCCCCTTTCACCATCTTGCCACCACAGGAGCTCTCTCCGTAGGCAAGGACTCTGAACACTGCTGGAGTCAATTCGAAGGACGCCCGTTCCTCGTTACCCCACTGTGCACCGCCACGTCGCTTCTCGATTCACATGGATTACAACGGCGCCAGCACCCTTGTCCGTCCCACAGAGTTCCATTTACTTACACTAGTTACATTCGACTGCACGTCAATTTTACCACAGCAGCTGTAGAGCTATAGTAGAGGCAGCTGCTGCCTCTACAGGACAATACACGGGGCCTGCGCCATGAATGTGGGGGCGGGCAATGTCCGGGCCAAAGCTTCTGTCTGCTCCCACTCGATCACGCTCCATCTGTCAACCCCACGCACCAGCAGCAGCCCAAGACACGACGGACCTCTTTTTGCCATGCTGGATCGGTGGGAGGTAAACGCACCCACGCTGTTGTCAACCGGGAGATGGCATGCATTCACAGAGTGGTCGCGGACGAGGTCTTGCCATTCAATGGCAGCGACGTTAGCTACCTTCTGGTGCTATACCCTCTGCTCGTCTGGCAAGGCTAACGAGTCTGGGAGCCTCTCAGCCACCACTGCCGGCGCTGCTGCTCCCCTGCCAGTCTTGCTTCCCTGCAACCACGGGCCTACTGCAATGCAGCGAAGGCTCGATCTGCGCATGTGCATCATCTTGGCCACCACCCGCACGATCCACTGCAGGAAGCTGGGTCAGGCCTTTGACAGCAGTTTCCAACACAGACAACGTCTTTCCAACCGCCTGCCTATGCAATTGTCCAAACATAGGCGAGATAGGCGCTGGACATCGAATAAGATTTTCATGCCTGACGCTCAATCACACTCAACCGTCGACCCCTTGTATAGTCATGTCCCGTCTGGTCTCACCTTCTCCCGTCTAGTCTCCTCCTAGCATCGACTTGAATAAGCGCATGCCCCCCACCAGGTGCAGCCTGGATCAACCTCGAAACTTCAATCTTCCAACCGACTTGAGCAGCCCAACGCGACCCTCTTTGGCGCCGACCCGCGTTGCCACTGAAGTGAATGAATGCAAATCCTTGCAAGCAACGTGAAAAATCGACACATGTGTCGTATCAGGTGTTTGTTATTGAACTGCGGATGGAGAAGGGGATGAATCAACCGGGGATCGATCTGGGCACCTCCGGTGAGATGCCCCACCGCTTTACCAAACCACCAGGCCAGAGGCAAGGAACAGGGCAGGCCACACTTTCCACTACCATTCCGTCCACAGCTACCAGTGACGCATGCCATCAGCGTAACCAGCAATGCGTGTTGTCTGCGTAACCAGTAACATGTGTTGCCTGCGTACACCCTCAGCCGTTGTCCCATGGCCACCCAAATGATCCACCATCTGTTGCCGCCGTCGATTCTCCATCAAGCCCCACCATGCCCCACTCGAATATCGATAATCGAATATCGAATTCGATCCCTCGAATATTGAATCGATGATATCGGATCGATCAGCAGACCATCGCACCGGATCTTCCTCCGATCAACCGAATCAGATTGCATCATCAGCCGACGAATCAAATTGATGGCATCAGACCTGCAGTCTCATCGACCCAAAGAGGGTGCCTCGGGCGAGAGGGCAAGGATCGGAAAACGGTGGGTGGGGGCGAATCGCAGCTGTGGGCCCCTGGGACCCCACTCCCTTGTTCAAGAACTTCAGAGACTTTCACATCTGGCTCAGCCCGTAGTCACGCATGCACCTGAGCAGACCACCTGCCTGGTGATATCACAGGCCATGAGGGGACGAAAGGATCATGAAAGGCAGTGAAAGGCCGCCTCAAGCTCTGAAGTGTGTGCTGCGGGGCCGCCCTCATTCTGCCCTCACTTGCCCTGTTCCTCGACCGACAGGTCCAGGCTCGGCCTGCCTTCCCAAGATCCCCGCAGAAGGATGCTGTCCACCAGCCCAATCGCACAGCCTCATCATCGAGATGGCAATCGAGCTGATCTTGAAATGACAGTCAATCCGGCCCCCAAACGATCTTGATGATCCAATGGCCTTCCGAATGACATCCCAGGTGATGCTGCAACGATCATCCAACTGATTTCCAACTGAAACCGTTGAGTTTGGCTCAGTGGCGACAGTGGCGGGGACGGGCGCTCATGCCGCCCAGGGGCCGTGCCCCGCGCTCCTGGCATGGTGGCCTTCTCCAAGAGCATCAGCAACAGCTCCCGGCCCCCAGCTCTTCTCGCCGCCTCGGCTGGTCTTGAGCAGCTCGTCCAATGGAGCATGCAAAGGGCCGCTTGAGCACCAAGTGCGCTGTCATTCTGCCGCTACTTCACAAGCGCTCGGTCCATACTGGCAGCATTCGCACCGGAAAATGCAGCATCAGAATCAAAGCATTGGTGCAATTCGGCCAGAATCGAACAATTGGGTCCATTCTCAATGTGTTTTGCATTCAATTATTATATTATAATTGAAAATTGAAAATTGAAAATTGAACTATATTTACTTATACACGATTCCGGCGACTTCAACGGGGAAGGAAACTGGGCCAAATCTTTAGGAATAGGCTCATTTAGCAGTGTCCATTCTGTAAGAACAGACCCAATTATTCAGCACTGCTGGGCGATGCAAAACGCATTAATAGTGCGTTTCACATCACCATTTAATGATGCCCCCATTGTAATGGACAATTTTGGGAAGTTTAAACACGGGAGGAAATTGCTGGACTGCCTGTTTTTCTGCCATGGCCACGCACCAGGGGCACCTTCTTCTCCAGGAGGCCCGCCACGGATCCAGACCTTCGACGCGCCCTGGAGGTTCGACGACTGCCATGGAAAGCCGGTCCATTAACGGAGGCGGGCTCCCCGCGCATGCGGTCCCACAACCCGCCGTCAACGACGTGGTCTACCATCACGTTGAACGCCCCGTCCACCGTGCTCATGACCTGCAGTTTCAACGCACTGCGATGGGATACGATTGAAATAAGGTCTGCAAACCTGTCTTATGGGAAGTCGCACAAGGCTCAGTACTTCGTGGCACTGGATTTTGCCACTCTCTGCCGACAGATTGATTTGCTCCTGTTCAAAATTCGCAAAAAAGAATATGTTTGAGTCGCACTGCGGCTGCAGCTGTGACTTCGACCGTGCTGGTGATTGAAATCCGGAAGCTGAACAAACTCGAGGTCGAAAATTGCGGCGTTCACTTGCATGTGTTAAATTTACGGCGAATGGCCCACGGCAACGAGTTGCATTTATGGCTGGATTGCGATCAGCCCTCATTCTCTGAATATTGCCGAACTCCGCGGAAAGGGGCAATCTATGTAGTAATTTTGCGTACATGAATATATCTGACACGCTTGGCACACACGCCACCGGCCGGTTCATGGCCAACATCACCGTTTTCTTCTCTCATGGGGGCGCATTACACAACACCCGCTGGAGCACCCCCAGTGTTGCAAGTTGCTCCTAATTACTGGGAATATTGCAAGCTACTCGCAGGACAAATGGTGCGCCAATGGGTGTTTTGAGCTATTTGGTACTTATATAGAAATATCTCAAAAGAGCGACTTCGGCACAGTAGCAAGCATTGGGACAAGAGGTACAACAGACAGGGTAATGACAATGCACGACTTGGCCCTGTATCAATATCCTCTTGGGCAAGGTGGATACATTGCCAAAGTACTATCAGTACTTTAGACATGAAGCGGTAAGCGCCGTGCCCATCCTGTCCATTGTTAAAGCCACCAGCTCTTGTGCCCACTTTCTCCAAGTACCAAAGCCAGCCCCCATTCTAACTACAAGGGGCAGCCCGTGTTACGCCTGTGTCATAATAGGAAGGCAAGCACAGGGTGTATCTGTGATGACAACTAATTTCACAGTTTCCATCACCAACACTTTTCCGGGGTCTTTTAATGTCCACGTGCACCGCACGTTTGTCATTTTCCTAACCTCTGCTTCATATTATCTCATATGATAAAATTATCGAACAACTCAATCATTTCAACAGATTGTTCGCCATTCGGCAGCGATTGTAAATTAACTTCTGCCAGCGCCCTGCAGATGCTCCGATTGTTTCAGCACAGGCTCTCTGTTTACCTTCATAAGGTTTGTTCGAGCAATCGCTCGTTCCATTTGCCTTATTTGAGAAATGCACGTGGACCAAATCCACGAACGGCTCGCAGCCATCAAGGACCCTATAGAGTGCCATTGGGGCACGGCTATCCCATGCGCTCCTGGGGGCACCTGGGCGGGTCAAGGGCGCAAAAGCGTCAGACTTTATCATTTCCGTTACCCATTCCGCATGCAGATGAGCCAATTCATGCTGGCACCAGTGTATGTAAGACAACCACCACAAGGCCAACAGTTACCCTCTGTCCTTTGATTGACTTACATATTTATTTATTTAGTACCATTTTGCTGGTTAGTCGATTTATTGACTGATTGACAGACTGATTGGTTGACTCAGCGACTGGCTGACCGGTTCATTGAACGGTTAATGGGCTGACTGAGTGATTGATTGACCTATTGGTTGATTGACTAATTGGTTGATTGATTTACTATCTGATCCAATGATTGACCTCCACAAGATGGGCAAGGGGCCGACTGCCACCCTGCACTGACACGCAACACGTCTTGATCATTGAGCGCACGGAAAAGGAAAGGACGGAAACGAGTGCACGGAAAAATGAACGCACGGAAAAATGAACGCACGGAAGATGAACTCGCGGATGGACACACCCAGCCGGCACACTCCATCGCCCTCACCCCAAGCCACTCCCGCCCCATCCACTCCTGCCACTCCTGCGTCTCGTGCCACACGTCCTCCCCTGTCTCCCCCAGGGCGCCCTCCAGGCCACCCCTTCTGCAACTCCTGGCCGCCACCGCGCAGCTCTGGGTCCGCCTGTGCTTCCTGGCGGCGCAGCGGCACTCGGACAGGGCGCCCTCGATGTAGGGCCGCCAGTTGAGGGGGTACTCCAGGAGGGGCAGTATGCGGACTGGGATTGCGTCAGGGTCGCGGGGCATGTGGCGGCCGCAGATGGACTTCGTCAGCGGCGATGGCTTCATGACTTGGTCGTAGAAGAAACCGCCCCAGTCCTGCCGAGTGGGCAACTGTCATGCTTGGAGATCATTTGCTTGGCATCACAGCGGTACTCCTTGGAAATGTGCTGATAGTGTTTGTATTGAGCGGATATTCGGTGCTTCAAATGCTGAAGCGCGCACGCCATGGTGCTTATCTGCAACAGTCGGTTCACTATTGGGATATGGACGAAGGTCCACCAGTTCTTCTCGCGACAGCTGCGCATCCTGCCTTGAAATATGTTCAATTGTGTACAGGAATGCTGCCAAAAGCGTCCCTATCGACTTTTTTGCAGTGTTTTCTATTATATAATATCAGCTGATTTTCAGATGGCCGTCCCTAGCACTATTGATGCGTAAGTAATGTGCCGCTACTGACACTGAAATTTTGAAAGCTGGAGGCTGGTATAGTCACCCCACGATGTCCTACAATGTGGCAAAGCACTTTCTAGTATATATTTCTAGTGCACAAAGTAGATTTGCTGCTTTTCATGAATGCATGAAGACATTACCAGACGAAAGGCTATGGACGGGGCACCTTGATGGGATATGCGCAGGGGGCTGCTTCCAAACTGGTGTGCACCCAAATCGCTGCAACTCCAGGCATAGCATTTTGAGTATCCATACGACCAATCCATGAACTAAACTGTGCCGTTGACAATGTGGCTAAAACATTGGTTTCTGCATTCAGACGTAACCCACGAATATGTTTTCACAGCCAGGCCAATCATCGCCCGTTCCTGCAGCATGCCTACAGTGTCTTTCACCACATTTCTGGCGCATTCGCAACGCCAGACCACCACTGTAGGGCACCTGTCTCAAGCGAACATGTGTGTTTGCCCTCGTAGCGTTCGCTGCTGTCGGTGCTCTGCCAGCAGGGCAGCCGGTCGGCCACAAAATCAAGCAAAGGAAGGAAAAACGCCGCAAAAAGGATGAAAGAAAAAGATGTGGAAAGGTCGACAGGCCAGTGGAGACTAACGAAGCCAAGTCAGAAGAATCCAGCTATGGCTGCATGATTTGGTGCCCTATATGATGCATGTGGCAAGTTCATCCAAATAATCAGAGACGTGCGGCCGAGACGCAGATTGGCGCACACTACTGGCATTCGCAGAACTTGACACATGTAGTACCTGCCTGGGCAATGGCTCTTAACGGTTTTCGTTATTGATTTGCGCAGGTTGCTATTGTTGCTGCTAGCCAGGTATTTCGAAGTACAAGGATTTGCACACCAACAAGGTGCACATTCCCCTTGCTTGCATGTCACAACGCTCCACGATTATCTGCACCCCATGCTGAATTTTTTCGTCCCCATTCTCAACCTGCATACAATGGCGAGTGGGGGACAAGGTGTTGTGGGCATGCGGCCCTTTGATCTTTGCTTACTACCAGTCAGCGTCGATCGTTGTCCAGTGTTTCACGCATTGTAGTTATCTACTCAACTCTTTGCGAGTTGGGTCAGAGACCTGAAAACTGCTTGCTTTGGGATTCCTGTGGGAAGTGCGATGCAGCAGTGCAAGTGTGGGATCCAGAGGCAAGTCCACTCACTAAAGTCATGCAGCCGCCATGCACAGCCCCGCCTTGGTCCAGGTTGCCCAGGTGCTGGGAGACGCCGTCGAATTTGTTGGAAACGTACAGAGGATTAGAAAAGCACAAGACGTCGTTGGCCACCTCCTTGCCTTTGCGCCCTGACGGAACAAGCGCAGAAGTTCACACCATCAGCAACAGACCCACACACAATGCAAAGGGCACCCCCCCTTTCAGCAGAGACCTCTCAGCGACCCTATCCTGCAATTTCGCACACACATTTGTGGCAATAAGTTGCCAATTTCTCTCCACTTCCTGACCTTTTCGAACCACACACAATTGTCAAAATCGTTGTGATAATTTTGTTCGTGTTTGAGTGGACGCAAATGGCATATTCTCAGCGGCGCTTGTGATGCCATTCCTCGCCACCACACGTATGGCTGCATCTAATGTACTGACAACCTGTGGCTGCATCTAATGTACTGACAACGTGTGGCTGCATCTTATGTTCTGGCACCATGTGGCTGCATCTAATGTTCTGACACCGTGTGGCTGCGTCTTATGTTCTGACAGCTTATGGCTGCGTCTAATGTTCTGACAACGTGTGGCTGCATCTAATGTTCTGACAGCGTATGGAAGTGTTTCAGCCAGCCAGAACGCAGGTCCGCTCTCCCAAAGGCGTTGCACGATGCCTTTAGACAGAAGCAAATGCAAAGGATCCCATTGATTACAAGGATCAAGGTATCCAATCACCCATCCAGCAATAAGTGAATCAGGCTCTACACCAGTTACTCAGTAAATCAATCAATTAGTTACCAATCAATCAACCAGCCACCCTACTTGATTGAATCAATCAAAATTTCTTAATTCAGGCATAAACACCAAAGGTCACGGTGTCTGCATTGCTGTGGGGGTGGCATGGTTTGCGGGGTGGCGACTTGGCCTATTGTGCAATGCTGGGTTGTTCGTGCCCACAAGCACTTCGACCAATTGAACAGGACAGAAGCCAGGGAGCGACACTCACAGTGAGTTGGCGGGTATGGTGTTTGGAGACGTCGACTGCATCTGCTCTTCCCCTGCATCGACGCAATGTGTTGTTAAAACTGCTAGAAATTCAGCGCACATCAGAGTGAAGTATTCGGCAACCGCCGCTGACGAATCACACACAATGTCAGCGCTGATGGAATACAAGCGTCAATGCAAGGTTCAATCCGCTTCTGGCAGTTGCTGCCATCTTGAGCTGTATGCCGCGGTCTTCGCATCCCTCACCCAGCAGGAAGGAATTTATTCGCGTATCGAACTGCACTTTGGTTAGTTCGCTCTGCAATTCAAGCAGCATGCTGCAGACTGTAAGAGACAACCGCAAAGATTTTTTTATTTTGTTTTTATTTTTTTAACTTTTTTACAGGGGTCGGGAGCTGGCACATCTGTTTCCTGTCCAGCGACGGTCCTTGTGGCATAGAACGGTGCCTTCGTTGGCAGGACCCTGTCTTCGCCAGCTGCTGTGCAGCAGCGAGCGCTGCTATATTTCATCATTCAAAGGGCAGAAATTTTGGTGCTGTTGCTTCTGCCGTTACCCGAAACCTTGAAATGAGCTGCACGCAGACGCTCACCCACGAAAAACGCATTTATAGTTAACATAAATTTCAAAAATGGGTTTGGATGTGTATGGGATTGCCACCACTGAAGGTAAAGGTCGCTTAGGGGCACAAGAACGGGCGACAATCCTTGAGGCCTCCCACCGCACAAGATGTCTGCGTACGCCAGAGCAAAACGGTCCCTGAACGCAATAACCATTGCTCCAGCTGGTCACGTCCGAGCACAGTACTTATGGATATGGTACGTTACACATACACAATCGTACAGTGTGCTATTGCAGTACATTGCTACGGCATACTGCTACCTTACTCTTCCACAGTACAATACCCAATCGTAAGTATGACAAAATTTTAACATCCACGTGGATGATACAAACAGTTTTCCACCGACCGAAGCTGGCTGCCCGCAAACAGAAACCTGTCGAAGTGCACCCCGATGTTCCAAAACCCCACAGTTTTGCCCCAATCGGGTTTGTACCCTGCGTGCACTGCTGAGCACTCAGAGCGGGCCAAAGAATGCTGCAACAACAGCAATATTCTTCAAGGATGTTGCAATAACAATATTTTCACCTTGCGTGCCTCCTTGGCGCCCGCCGCTGACTCACTGAATTCAGCTGTGTACATATGCAGCTGCGCGCAGTGTGTGTGCACTATAGTGTGGGTTTAGCACGTCCAGAAATTTTGTCAGCAAGAGAAAGTTTAGGGCTGTCTACCTTCTGAAAGACAGGGTTGTCAACGGGGAGCATGACGTCCCGGATCCTCACGGTCTTCGCCCAGTCTGGTTTGTACCCGCCGCACTGACACACTGGACGATACTTTGCAAGGGCCCGGCCGTCTGCCTTGACAACCTGTGCATGCATGCACAAACACGAACAGGGCTCAACATGGCTCAGCCGCGCAAATTCTGTTATCCACTTCTTTGGAACGCGCATGACGACACCAAATCCTTGTGAATCTTTGGCGATCAGGGTCATCTGCATACAGATCCAGAAGGCTTTGCAGTGCGCTTGACCTTCGTTTGCCAGAACATGACATACTACAGCCTATGCATGTGAAGGTAGCAAAAGGCAACATTCAGAGGAAGGGCTGGTGGACGCCCACTTTGGTGGAAACAGTGGGCACGTTGCTGGCTGCCAAAGCGACCACCACAGCACAGCTGAAAAACTGCAGTGCATGCTTGAATTTTCGATACTGAGTTACCACAGGCACAGCAATCACCTATCCTCCTGCCTTCACGATCCATTTCTTGCTGTTGAGAATTACTTTCAAGTAGCTATGCTAGAAGTTCATCGCCAGGATGTGCCAATTCACTGCAGTCATTGAGGTGCAGCATTGATATGCTAAGCTTGATACGATTCAGAGTTGCTACATGAGAAAAGAACAGATCTTCAGTTCAGTTTTGCAATGTAAGACAGCGTTCTGGCAACAAGAAAGGGATTATGGACATGCACAAATCCAAAGCGCTGGCTAATTCCATTTCTGGCTCAGCTCATGCGTGCTGTTGGCTGCCTTCTTGCCACAAGTGCAGACTCTCACACCCCCCTCACCATACTTGCAGAGGGGAAAAGAGGCTCAAACATGTTCAAATGAGATGGTGTCCATCGTGCAACATCATTGAACCCCATTGAGTTTGTGGTGCATGGTTGCCATCACAGGCTCAATTGCCTCTCTGGCACCTGGCATAGGAGCGCTGATATGATGCCATGACTGATCTATTTCCAATCTCCATTTCCATGTGTCTTGCATGACCACCTAGCTTCTGTGCCTTCATATCATGGGCTGCATCAATTTCTAGTGTGTGAAAAGATAACCTGCAGGGCAGAGGTCTGGGGGCAATGTACAGCAGTGTCCTTTGCGATAAAGATGCATTCTCTTGTCAAGGTTTCCATTCTTACTGACCGGCACAAATCCTCAGGCGCCACATCACTCCACCCCCATTCCAGTCCTGGCAAATGCTCGTTGCAACTTAAGGGAAAACCATACCAGGCATAGGCACTCTTCTTGCTTAAAACATACATGTGACACTCCTGTCCGTGCAATGGAAGGAAAACCTTCCGAGCGAGCATGAAAATGTTGCAACAGCCTGTTGAGCTACGCTGCCTGTCCAGCTCGGGTGGGGGATGGTGCAAATGGTTTCCAATCTTTTCTCATCCAAATGGGAAATAAAGCAGCATCCCCCAGCCCCTTGCAGCCCCAGTTGTCCATATCTTTCAAACCGAGTGCATCTCTCCAACGACCCTTGCAACACGCTCCCAGCACTCTTGCTCGCAGGGCACCACAGCCAAGGCAACAGTCCCACCCCAGAAACCACCCCACTGCCCACCACACTAATCGTGCCCCACATGGTGACTCCCGCCTCCAAATCTGTTGCAGGAAAAGTGAGCAGCGCGGGTTGCAAAGAGGATTCTGGCCATGATTCTCAAGATCTTTAGGGATGGTAATGTTCTCTCAAGAGCTCTTCGCAAGGAGAAGAAAGGGGGGCGTTGTCTGATATGCCACTTTTGCGCCACCCTTTCTTTTCCAAAGGCGAACTTCCTACAAGTGGACGACAAGGCGCTAGCCCGACGCGCAGATCCTCCCGTGATCCAAAGCCACAGCTGCACCCGTTTGCACTCCGTCGCCGGTTCCTTTGCCAGCCGCCCCGCATGGCCCCAGCCGTAGACCAATCCGTTCGACGACAATCGCCAGTTTGTCCCAAAACTCAGCCCTCGCACCCGCAAAGGGGATAGCCGATCCCAACCCGGCGGTCGCCAAAAGCCACGGGCGCCGATCATGGCACTGGTGAACGAGAGAAACGTTGACGGTCAGAACCGTCTTGGATCTTTTGGCGCGGCCTTGGCTCTTCTGACGCCGTCTTGATTTTTTGGCCCCGGCGTTTTGGTTCTTTGGCACCGCATTGGTTCTTTTATCGCTGTCATTTGGGTTCTTGGTGCCGCCTTGGCTCTTTTGATTGGGCTCTTGGCCCGCACCAAAACGCCGCCCAAGAGAACTAAGCGGACCAACATGTCACTCTGTGACGCGCGAATCTTTCGCATCGGTCATCACCCCCAGCCCGGCCGAACAGCTCGTCGACGGCGATCGCACGCCGGGACAAAAACAGACATAAATGCGCAAAGCGCGAGGACGCCATGGACCTGGGCAAGGGCTTTCACGGCCTGCGACACCGCCTTCGCAGCCGACTTAGTCTGCTCGTGCGCTCTCCTCGCGACGCGCTTGACACTCGCGCGGCCAGCGGCGTTCATTCTTGATCAAACACGCGCGCAGTGCGCCTTCGCTCGCCTCGCCAACACAACGCTACGCGCCGCTTCGGATCCCGCGGCGCAATGCAACGCGCGGACCGGTAAGACCAAAAACCAAATCGCCACCCGCGCCCGCGAAGGCCTCTCCCTGCAAACCGCGGCACCCTCCTTTCCCTCGGATCCCTTCCTTCTCAACAACGCCGGC